TTTTTGAACACAACCATCACATCCTTTTTTATCCAATGGAAGTGAAATTCATATTAAAGAAGGCAAAACAAGATATAGTGGAGAAATAGAGATGTGTATCAATATAATCTTACTATTTAATAGGTCCAGAAGTAGTGGAGCAGGACAGCCATCTTCTTCAATTTTCCTGCAATTTGTTTGAGAAATTACTTTCCTATTAAGGTCTAGAGTCAGCAGACCTGGGACCAGAACAAGGATCTGCCTCTGGCTGTTGGTACAACTTTGGACAAGTTACTTCTCTCTGGGATAATTTTCTTTACTTGCAAAATGATGGTGTTGAACTAGATTAACTAAGGGCCATCCTAGCTTCAAATCTGTACTCCTAAGATCTAGGCAATTATCATATCAAAGCTGCATGAAGGTCGTGTTAAGTCCTCCTTCAAATCAATGATCAACATAACTCTCTTTCTTATTTAGGTTTACCTTTGTTTTATCTATCTCTACTGCTACCTCAAATTCACCACATCCCTCTCAGCACCCTTGTCACCCCATTACATACACATTTCTCCTCTCTCCATCCATCCTCCTCTTTTCTTCATAATAAATTTTACTGGAAAATGGAATGGAGCCCTTAAGACCAGTCTCACATTTCCTGTGCTCATTTTTCAGTTTCCAACTCCTACCATGACAGAAGGAGTTTCTTGCGGCATATGGTATGAGATGTTGGTCTAAGCTTGATTTTTGTCCAGTTGCTTTCCAGTTTTCCTAGTAGATTTGGTCACATACAGAATGCTGACCGAAGAGGGTGATTTCTTTGGGTTTGCCAAACACCCTGCTATTATGTTCATATGCTTCAATTTCAGAATGAATTCAGTAGAATGAAGAAAAAATCTAATGGAAAGGAAAGGAAAAGGAAAAGGAAAAGGAAAAGGAAAAGGAAAAGGAAAAGGAAAAGGAAAGGAAAGGGAAGGGAAGCGAAGGGAAGGGAAGGGAAGGGAAGGAAAGGGAAGGGAAGGGAAGGGAAGGAAAGGGAAGGCAAGGAAAGGAAAGGAAAGGAAAGGGAAGGAAAGGCAAGGAAAGGAAAGGAAAGGCAAGGAAAGGAAAGGAAAGGAAAGGAAAGGAAAGGAAAGGAAAGGAAA